ACTTAATTTGAATATGTCAAAAATATTATCATACTCATTTAATAAGTCAAATCGGTTTTTAGAGAGCTTAATGTTTGATCTATAATTTTTAAGTAAAACTAATTTTAAAGGCAGTTTTTGATAATGAGGGTTCATAGTCAAACAGTTTTGGTTTAAATTTCCTCCTGACCGTTGGTAACGGTGGAAAGTTTTCTTCGATTTCGAGAGAGAGTGCTACTTCTTTCGCTTGTACAAGGATTTCTTCAAACGATTGGTCAGATCTATATTGCTGGAAGTGATCAACTAAATTTTTTAGGTAGGTTTGACATACTTTAATATTAGCTGTAGCACTTTGCCTTTGTTTGCTGACAATATATTTATGTGAAATAAAACGTCATGCCAAATATAATTCCGCAAATAAATTGAAATTTTTGTACAGACTTTAAGAGAGAACTCGCTTTATGTCTTGCATCAATGTAAAAGGAATTATCTTCAGCTACTTCTAGAAGACTTTCGCAAACCTTAATTAAATAAAGTTTAAGGGTCTTTATTGAATCAATTAAACTTAACTTTAAACTTAACCCAGGGCCATTTTTCTCAGAATATCCCACCTTTTTGTGGATGACGAAAAAAAATTATATAACAGTTGCACAAGATTAAAAAAGTTTATTGTAACATCTGACACTTTAGAAGCGTCATTTACTGTTAAGTTCAAAGTATGAGCCGCACAAGGTACAAAAAGATCTCTCGGATTCGCGTCAAGAATGCGTTTTTGAAGCCCAACATGCTGTCCCTTCATGTTTGCCCCATTATTAAAACCCTATCCCCCATATATTTTTTATATCTATATTTAATTTTTTCAAAATTTCTGTCACAAATGTATATATCCCTTTTCCTTTAAACTCGTACAGGGTCTTTGACTATATTTACGTGCTTCCTAGAGCCTTTATTATGTCAGATAGAAAAAAAAATGTTTTATTCAGAAGTTGTAGGGTTTTTCCTATATTATCTATTGAAGTTATCAGATAGAAACAGGAAACAGATAAGATTCCTATAAAGGGTTAATGTTGACAGTATATAGTAAAGTAGGGAACACTTACCATTTTATAAAAAATCAAACCGTTGAAATTGCAGTCAGTAGGTATTCAGCACTTAATTTTTTAGAAAAAAAAAGTAGTATACAAAATATTATACAACACAACACTAGACAAAATAAAAATAATTTTAAATGAAAAAATTAATAGGATTATATGCACTTGTTGCACGGTCCACTGAACTAACCGGTTTAAAAACGCCTCTTTTTTTTGCGCCCAGAAGCAAATGAAAAGGGCTACCCCGTTAACGCGAGGAGGTGGTGAATGCTTTATGCATACCACGACAGCCGGCTGTCGTGGTTATGTGGGACTCACTGTGACTACACTACCTAACAACCCTAAGTGTACCTACTAAACACCAAACATGGGACTGGCATTGGCTTATTAGTAGTGACCGACCGAAGATTCGGTTTCGGTTTCGGTTTCGGCAAAAAATCTGCCGAACCTTCGGCGGCGCCGAAACTCAGTGTTCGTGGATTATCGTGCGTCGTTCGGATGAGTTCGTGACTGGGTGACTGGTGTATTATTCATAATTATACAGAAACAGAAACTTTTTTATTGAATATAGATTATAAATAATACTTATTGAAAGTCACTCTTTTGTTTAATTACCATTGGTTCGAAAAAAAACCTCTGTCCTTGGAAGAACCAGCAACAAACCCAGCGGGACTTTTTTTTAAATAACAGCTTACAATCAGAGGCGTAGCCTGGACTAATATAAACGTGCGCGAAGTTGCTATGGTAACTCAAATGCTGTGTTCGACATACTTACAGGTGATGAAAGCTGGATTTATTGTTATGATCCAGAAAGTAAGAGACAGTCTGCTGTCTGGGTGTTTTCTTCCGAGGAGTTGCCAACTAAAGTGAAGAGAAGTCGAAGCGTGGGGAAAAAAGATGGTGGTCTCGTTCTTCGGAAGGACAGGTCATTACGCAACAATTGTTTGCTATTTGTCTTGGAAAAAGTTCAGGAAAAACGACCTCGCAGTAGGATCCTCCTTCACTACGACAACGCCTCGTCGCACAATGCCAAGCAAACAATCGACTACTTGGCGACGTCAGACGTGGAATTACTGGATCACCTGCCCTATAGCACTGACCTCGCACCTTGCGATTTTTATTTATTACCGAAAATAAAAGAAAAACTTCTTAAAAATATGTATATGGACACTACTTTTGAAAAGATATAATAAGAGTAATAACTTGCTAGTTTGTTCAGTTTTTGATTTTTTAGTGTTACCCTCGTACCTACTCATATCTATTAATTCCTGACAAGCCTCGTATTTCGTCAATGTAACAATCACGGTCTTTGAAGGTAGTTTCAAAGGTCTCGCAGTCGCATTTAAGGGGGGCTACTTGCGAGGCCCCAAACAAACACACTTTCACTATTTTAAGGGTAAAAGTGATCAAATTAATTAGTCATCTGTGGTAAAGTCTGGGGGCATCGCATTTTAGGGGGTCTCGCGAGGCCCCTTTAAGTGCGAGGCCGTGGGTGAGGTCCCACTTCGCCCACAAGTAGCTACGCCACTCTTACAATCATTTATGTAACACAATTAACAACAAAAAAAATAGAAATAGCTTAGTTGTGATGTGTTGGACTGGTACAAGGAGACGACTGAATGTTTTCCTCAATAAAATAAATAGAGTCCATGACAAAATTAAATTTAAACTTGAATTGGAACAAGATTGTTCCCTTAATTTTCTTGACTTAACAATAACAAGAAAAGAATCGTCACATGTTTTCCAAATTTCAAAAAAAGCCAACTCACACCGACACGGTCATCCCCGCGTCATCGTGTCATCCGTGGCAACATAAAGTGCGCCTACTTTATGTTGCCACGGATTTTTATTGTTACATTAACCGTTTGTTCACTGTCCCATTAAGTAAAGAAAATTATTTAAAAGAACTTAATATAATTTATCAAATAGCGGTCTCTAACGGTTTTTCAAAAAATCTCATTAACAATTTAATTAAAAAGAAATAAGCATGATGTTCGCAACTCTCTGTACGCGGTTCAACCTCAAAGTGTTCATCGATATGTGAGCAGTTTGACCTACTTAGGCCCCATATCTGAAAAAGTAGCTAATACTCTTCGACAAAACGGCGTTTATGTGGCGTTCAAAACAAACAATCCTCTTAGAAATATCTCTAATAATAAAGATAAGTTGGATATTCGTCAAAAGTTAGGTGTTTACAAACTTGTTTGTGACTCGAGCCACGCCGTTTACGTGGGTCAGACTGGTCGCAATTTCGAGACACGTTATAAAGAGCATTTAGCCGCGTACAGAAATTGCAATCCCGATAAATCCCATTTTGCCAAACATCTTTTGGACACTGGACACAACCTAGCCAACGACCACTCCTTTAAAGTTTTACATACGTGTAATAAAGGACTGCGGCTATGTGTGCTGGAACAGTTAGAGATATTAAAAAGTAATAATAGTATCTTTAAGCCTGCTCTCTAATAATATAGAGCCTCGCAATATGGTCGTTTGTAACCCTCACGGTGATCGGCGATTGGTTGCGTGTGTAAAATTAATAGATCTGGATGTCTTTTACTTATTTATTCAATTTTAACAGATCAGTCTTAGTCACTTAATAGCGTCTAATGCCGCCATCTTGACCGCTTCCTCTCAACTTACAATAACATTTGAAATAAGTACTTTTTTTATTATGTGATTAATTATGTGACTATAATTACTTTTAAAATGTTTTAATATTAAACATTTTAAAAGTAATAAATTTATCTTTATAATTCTTAACCGTTAGAAATTAAAACTGAGTCTCAACTACTTTAATACACGAAATAGGCATAATGTTGATGAGAAATGACATGACAAAAACAAATTATCGTTTAGAAACTTGATATAAAAAATGACTACATATTGATAATGTAACAATCGGCCATTCTGATTTTTACTGCCTGTCCTCAGGCAGTTTGACATCTTGTTATGAGAGTTTTTTTTTTACACATTTTTTAATCAAAAAATTTAAATACGATATGAATTTACATTTAAGCTGTCAGAGAAAATCTGTTTAATACACTTTTTTTTTTAAATACAATAGGCAAATAATATGGATTTTCATTTAAGCTAAGAAAGAAAATATGTAATAATATACATGTTGTTACCAAAATAAAGTTTGTCAATTCGGCCATCCTTACTTATTAATTGAATGCCCTCATTCGATTCTACTTGTATTCTAAGATATAATTATAATCAGTAAACTTAACGGTAGTATCCATTATAATTGTAACACATTTTATTGACACACAGATATACCATTTACGAATTACGAATTATTTATAATTTGGCACCATCACAACACTCGGACGGAACATCCTTCACATAGTACTTATGTTACAATTTGTAACCACAGAATTTCCCAGCATTAATTCACCAAATGAAGTATTACTACGGAGTTGCAGACTCATTTATTATTATGCTCGGATTTATGCTTAGCTTTGGAATCAGTTGTAGATGCTAACCGCGTGCACACACAGGATGCATCGGTCTCTGTTCACACATTTTGTTATTTGATGGGTTTACCGCGTGTACTTACAGGGTACATCGGTCTCTCCTTCTGAAATTAATGAAATACCACGTACACACACAGGCTGTATCGGCCTCTGTCTATCTACTTTAAACTGGTGGGCTACCGCGTACACACACAGGGTGTATCGGCCTCAACCCTGTTTTGAAGGGATACCGCGTGCACGCACAGGGTGCATCGGTCTCTACCCAGTTGCCAACTTTATAATATTATGTCTGTGTTGATCCATCACAGCCTCGGAGTACGGTACTAGATTCCGGCGGACTTAGTGTCGGTTTACGTACAAGTACAACATAAAAACTAAGTGATTTATCATTAATAACATTAACTATATTTACATAGCAAAATGAATTAGAATAATTAAACCTTATTACAAACTACTGGTCACTGTGAGAATAAAACACTTGATTTTCTGAATCAGAATCGGGGATTGAACCAAGTCGTATCCAAGGTTTTATTTTATGGGCCGAATAAATGTTTCTATATTTACGCGATGAAAAGCCCTCAACATTGCAAACCTCATACCGATCGTTCCCTAGCACCGTTGTTATTTTGTAAGGGCCACTAAAAGGTGGAACGAGTTTGTTGCTGTTGCCAACATTACGTACATTTTTGGCAATCATAACCAGATCTCCCAGCTTATATGTATTAGCTGTACACCTCTTTTTATCAAATCTGGCCTTCATTGTTTCCTGCTGCTTCGAAATGTGGGAGGAAACTTGCTTACGAGTCTCATCGATGTTTTCGTCTAGCGTTAAATTTTCAGAGATTTCATGTAAATGAGTTTCGGTACTATTAACCGTGTCTTTACCAAAAACGAGTTGCGCTGGTGTCTTTCCAATGGCTTTTTTTAAAGTGTTATTTAAGCTCCACTGCACATTGTTTAAATTGCAGTCCCAATCACGATCATCTTTATCGATGTTTAGGGCTGTTAGAGAGCCCAAAATTGTCCGATTATATCTTTCAATTTGCCCGTTGGCACGTGGAGTGGCGACAGCGTTCTTCACGTGTTTAATTTTATATTTTCCCGTAAACTTCTTGAATTCATCAGAGGTGAAGCTAGTTCCGCGATCTGAAATTATTACCTTAGGACAACCAAACAATCTGATAAATTCACGCAGCGCTTGTATCGAAGTCTTGCTCTTTGTGTTTCTAACAGCACGTAGTACAATGAATTTAGAAAATCCGTCGATGATTCCTAGTACGTAAGTATTTCCAGTCTTACTGCGTACAAACGGCCCAACATGATCTATGTGTATACACTCAAATGGTGTACTAGGTTTCGAAATTGGATACAGAAGACCCTGTTTCTTTCCAAATGGTTCTTTAGCGTAGGCACAAGGTATGCATGCGCGCACATATTTCTTTATAAATCGAGCCATACCAGAGAACCAGTAATCTCTGCGCATCTTTTCCAAAGTCTTCTCATAGGAAAAGTGTCCACTGTCATCATGACAGAACTGACAGATTTTCCAGCGAGCGTCTCGTGGCACTGCCCATCTCAAGACATCGCCAACTTTTCTGTATATCTTACCATCATTCAATGTGTAGTTATGCCTAATATCTTTAGCTTCAGTGCTATTCCTATCGAGTATTCCTTTTATAAGCTTTAGTTTAGGGTCACTTAACTGCGCTGCTAGTACGGAATGTTTGTCTTGTACAACATTAAGTACATGTAAATCTAAGGAATCACTATCATCGGCGGGCAAGGGATTACGACTCAAAGAGTCTGCATGTTGCATTTGCGTACCAGGTCGATATTCGATCGAAAAATCGAAATCTTGAACAAGAAGCCACCACCTTGCAATTCTCGGTACAAGATCCCTCTTGGTTAATGCTGTCCTTAAAGCGTTGCAGTCGGTAACTATCTTATTGAACTCCCAGCAAGTAGACACGAAATCGATTTAAGGACATCACCACCGCAAGAGTTTCTAACTCGTATGAATGAAAATGTTGTTCTTCTACCGAAGTCTGCCGGCTGTAATATGCGACAGCCCGAAGGGGTGATTTCTCGTTCTCTTTTTGCAACAACATGCCGCCTATTCCGAGTTGACTTGCATCTGTATGCAGTTTGGTCAAATAGGTTGGGTTATATATTGCTAACACAGGCCTGTCTGTAAGTATTTCTTTAATTTTAAGGAAAGATTTAATTTGATCTTCCCCCAAGTCCATGGGGTATTCGCTTTAGTTAACGACGTTAATGGTCGAGTAATAGTAGCAAAATCGCGGATGAACTTTCTGAAGAAACTAGCTAACCCGATCAACTGTCGAATTTCATGGGGGTTTCGAGGTGTTGGAAACGACAATACAGATTCTGTTTTCCGTGTACTAGGGCGAATTCCATTTTCCGATACTTCAAATCCCAAATAGTCATTTGTGGTTTTGAAAAAATGGCATTTCTTTAAATTTAACGTTAAGTTCACTTCACGCAAAATATTTAAAACTTGATGTAATTTTTCTATCCCTTCAGTAATGGTCTTTGTCCCGATAACAATATCATCTATGTATGCCATAACACCCGGGATTTTGTGTTTGTTTAGTAACTTATGGATCATCCTTTGAAATACTGCGGGTGCATTTGTTAGTCCAAATGGCATTCGATTGTATTCAAAGTGTCCATCTGAAGTAACAAATGCAGTAAGGTATTTAGAATCTTCTGACATAGGGATCTGATGTCAGATCGCTGCGTCAGATCCAACGTAGTAAAATACCTTTGGCCTTACAGGTTATCTATTTGGTCTTCAATCAATGGCATCGGATATTTATCTTTGATGGTTTTTCGATTTAATGCGCGGTAATCGACACAAAGTCGAAGGTCACCATTTTTTTTTGAAACAAGTATGATGGGACTTGCATATTCAGAATCAGATTCTCTTATAATTTCATTGATCAAAAGTTCATTAATTATGCTGTTAACCTTTTCTCTTTCAGAAAGAGATAATCTGTAAGGCCGATAGGTAACCGGTGCAGCATCATATAATTTTATTCGCATTTCAACAATTGAAGTCTTTCCTAATTCACTGGTGGTAAAAGCGAAACAACCTCTGTACGAGTTTAATAGATCTAAGAAATTCGACTTAGCCATAGGTTCGAGATTTGGATCTGTATTTAAATCATCGATGGTAATTCAAGAAACATCATTGGCTATACGCCTCACATTTACCACGTAACTGTTTTCCTCGTTGGTGGGGAATATTTGTTTTGGTATTCCTACGCCTCTTGCTACGATTTTGCCTTTCTTAAGGGAAAAGGGTTTATCACATAAACTTATAACAACTACACGGACGATACCATCATAAATAGCATAAATTCAGGGTAAGATTAAATATTGTGAATCATTGAATCGCTGTATCTCTGATGCTATGCTCACGAATCCTGTAAACTGAGAAACGCTAACAGCTTCTATTACTATATCATTTTTAATCATGTAATCGTCTACAATCTTTAATACCAGCAAGTTTGATTTGTTAGCAGTAATTTGGTATAACGTCAATTCTTTATCCGTCTTAAATACTCTTACAGTAGGATGTTCAGAGAGAGATTGCCCTATGAGTACCTCAGCTGGCAACAAAGACGCAGGCACAACATATGCTATTAATCCTATATCCACAAAATCGACTCTTACTCTTACTTGTGCTTTACCAATTGGAGATATAGCACTATTACCAAATCCCCGTAAAATGGGCAACTCGTCTGAAGAAATTTTTAAATTCAAGTCTTTACACACTTTATCACTCAAGAGAGTACACTCGCTCCCAAAGTCAATATAGCCTTTTATTATTATATCGTTAATTTTAACATCTTTAAAATATTTTTGATTACTCTCCATCACTGTTCCATCTATATTTAATACCGTCTTTGATATGTTATTAATCTCTTCGCGGTTTGTGTTGTTTGGTTTATGATAATTTTGTAAATTGCAATTTATATCTTTATGGCCATGGCGTTTGCATTTGTTGCACCTTAGTATTTCTTTAGTACACTTCAGAACTGTGTGACCTACTTCGCCACAATTGAAACACGTTATGTGGCTCATGATCCTTTTGTTATTAAAATAGTCGGGATTATTTCTACTTTTTACCTCTTGAATGGATTGATTTGGATATTTGTTTACGCTGTCATTTCTTTTGTCACGCATATCAGGGTTAAACCGTTTAGGAAACTGTGGTGGTTCAGTTTTATTACCGGTAATATAGCGAAAGTAATTTAAGACCTGTTCCGGGTTATCATAATGTGCACCTTGTACATTCTTTCTCACGTTATAATCAAATATCCCGTGAGTTATGCAATCCACTGCTTGTCGCCTCACTAGGTAATACCTATTAATAAGCATAATCTTATCGTAGTAATACTCAACAAGAGTTTCGTTACGTCTACTTTTACGACTTAACATTTCGGACAATAAATCTCCGTAGTTCTGGTCGCAGGGAAACGTCTCCAATAACTTTCCCTGCCACTTTGCCCAACTAAATTTTACACTCGTAAGTCCATCATACCATTTCTTTGCTAATCCCTTTAACTTTGGTAAAGTATAGAACATGGTTTGTTGTTCCGACCAACCATACATTTCCGCCGATTCGTTTATCTTTATGAGCCAGTCTTTCATGGTTTGTGCTTTAGAACTAGGGTCGAATTCCGTGATAATACTTTGTACATCTTGCACGTGCGTTGGTACATGTACTTGCGAATTATTACCTTGTAGTGCACTTACCAATTGTTTAAGTAGATTATTGTCAGAAGCTTGCCTAGAATTTGCACTTTCAATGGATGTATCACTAGATATGCTACGTCGTATATTTTTGTGTTTATCTGAGTGCTTTGATTTGCGCTGCGACCGTTCAAAATAAGTATGGCATGGAGTGCTATCACATTGAAGACGCCGGCGGCGCTGCCGTGTCGTTAGATTTTGAACAGGTGAAGCAGAATCAATACGAGGTTTACGAGAAGTCTGTCTGCCACGAGTGGGTGTTTGACGACATTGCCGACATCTACAACGGTGGCGATTTTGTTGCCTAGTAGGTGGTCGCGAGTATTCTCTATATGACGAATTTGAGTCTAAAGTAAAATGCCCAACGGACTAGCTACGATTTTGCTTACGGCTAGGACGGTACGACTTGGCACGACCCATATGACCATCTCCAATAGATGGTAAAGGGGGTGTTAAACCACAATCAGACATTTTATATATATAACGACTATTGTGTATAAAAGAGATAAAACGTATAATAATGTCTTAATATTGTTAAATTGTTAATTGTTATTGTTAACTATATTGTTAATATTACAATGATAACAAAGATAATATATAGTATACTCGTAAACGGAACACTTCTTTGAGTTATTTACAGTATCTGTAACAATATTTTCAATGACTATTTTGCACACATAAAGAAAGTGATAAACAAATTTGAAGTTGTGTATCGCTAGCAACGCAAAGTCGGGAATTCGTATTTGGAAAAATCCAATATTAGGGGCTTTTTAGGTGCTAATTAGGTGCCAAGTTTAAAAATTAGGTGCTCTAAAATTTTCACCGCAACGAACTGTTGAAATTTGCGTTGCTAGCAAAACGTCTCGCTAGCAACGCAATGAAGTTATTAGATATACGATAAATATTAATAGCAAGGAATTAAGTGCTAATTAGGTGCTGCAAGTATAGGCAATAACAAGGCGCCCCTAATAAAAATAAAGTCGTTATTCAGAACATAGCAGATGCAAAATTCAGATTTCCTGAAAATCAAAATACAATCAAAATTGCTTTCAGAAAAAGTCCAAATTAGGGGCTTTTTAGGTGCTAATTAAGTACCAAGTTTAAAAATTAGTTGCTCCAAAATTTTCACCGCAACGAACCATTGAAATTTGCATTGCTGGCAAAACGTATCGCTGGCAACGCAATGAAGTTATTAGATATACGATAAATATTAATAGCAAGGAATTAAGTGCTAATTAGGTGCTGTATAAATGCTAAGTATACGCAATGACAAGGCGCCCCAGATAAAAATAAAAAAGTTATTCAGAAAATTATTCAGTAAAGCAAATGCAAAAATCAGGTCTTTGTGTTTGTGCCATCTAGCGTCTATCGTACTTACCACCTTGATAGTCCATCAATTTTGATTCGATAAAATGACTAGAACTATAGAACGTTGTAGATGGCGCTATTTATTACAAAGCAATTTACTGGAAAGAAAATATCTTTCGATTTAGTACACTAAAGTTTAGGCTTCACTTGTCTAAAAATAAGAATAGTAACATTTATTTAGTTGAAAATTATATTAAATAATATTATAGATTATATTAAATCTGAAAAACATAAAATGCCGTTCATACCTTATAGTAATTGTGGTTTTGAATCCGATAATTTCCAGAATATTACCGTCATCTACATGCGACCTCAATAATCCTTCAGCGCCTAATTAGCATTTCATTTTTAGGCACTGATAAATAACAAAAAATACCGTTCATACATCTTAATCTGTATCGGGTTTCGATAATCGCTCAGCATTTAATCAACACTTAATTCCTTGCTATTAATGTTTATCGTATATCTAGTAAATCTTGCTAGCGATACGTTTTGCCAGCAACGCAAATTTCAATCGATCGTTACGGTGAAAATTTTAGAGCACCTAATTTTTAAATTTGGTACTTAATTAGCACCTAAAAAGCCCTTATTTTGGGCTTTTTCTGAAAGCATTCTTGATTATTTTCTGATTTTCAGAAAATCTGAATTTTGCATCTGCTTTGTTTG